TACTACTACTACTACTACTGCCTCTGGCTTTTCACGACCTCCACCACGTGAGTCGGCCACGCCCCGACCCCCGCCCCCGCCCGTACCCACGCCCACGACCACGTCCACCAACAGCACCAACGACAGCAACACCACCTCCACCACTTACACCAATGCTGAGAAGCAGCATGTGAAGCTAACATGGCCAGGCTGGAGCTGTTCGCAAGGCCCGAGTCACCTAGCGCCAGGCATAGCTCCAGGCGCTCTGGGACTGCGGCTTTTTCACCCTAATTTTTCACCACCTATTTCTTTGCATCTGTGACTGTGACCGCAGGCGATACCTGCAAGGCCATCTGTGGAGACGGCATCGTTGTATCTACCGAGGTGGCTGTTCTGGGATTGTGGTGCTTTAGGCAGAGCTGGAAATTTAGCGCCGCAGCTGTCCTAGTTTCGAAGGCTTGCTGCTTGCTGCCAATCTTCCTCCTCTGTCTCTCGCTCGCTCTATCTCTCTCTCTCTCTTTTCTCTTTTCTCTCCTCTTTTGTTTTTCGTTATCTACCTCTCCGTCTCGCTTTGACTGCCCCGATCTCTCTCTCACTCTCTCTCTCTCTCTCTCCATCTCTCTCTCGCTCCCTCAATCCATCTCTCTGTCTTTCCCTTTCGCTCGCTCTCGTGTTCAAACGTTTCGGCTTTGCTTGCTCCTGTTTTGCAGTTGCCAGTTCCTGTGGACTATGCTCGCAGCCGCCATGACCAAATAAGCTCTGGCGCGAGGCTTGCGATGATGGAAACCTTCGCGGCGACGATGGCTGCACTGGAGACTGTCGCGCTGGCACCTCAAGCGAGTGAAGAAACATTCTGAAGGATCGGGGTGAGGGATTCCTGAAACACGGCACAGTTACTGACGAACAACATCTAGGAGAGCTCTAGACTCTAAACTAAACCCCGTGCATTCCCTAGACCCGTAAATCCCAAATCAGAAATGCTCAAACCCGAAAAATCCCAAGCATCCCCAAACCCCCAAATAGCGGGCTGGTAAATGCCCTGTGAGAGTTCGTGCAGAACTGGCCGAGGTCGAAGCACTCTTCGAGTGCTTCTTACCAGGTGCAGCTGAGCTCCTGCAGGCCAGGATTTTGCAAAGGAAGAGTTTCGGATTTTTTTCCGATTTCTACGGGGTTCCTACATAGTGTGTCAAAGTCCATGAGTTCTAGTATATTATGGTAACATCATGATTTGCGGGCTAGAGTTTCCTGATTCCTGTCCGCACATTGGGCCGAGAGATGGCGGGAGGTTCAGGGGCTTGGAAAGCCTGCCAAAGCTCACAGCACAAGCAATGCTTCTTCAAGTGGAGCCTTGCCTGATGCTACGCGGTGTTTTTTGCTTGGTTGGCTGAGTTTGTTGTTGATCGCATGTTGGTCGGTCCTGATCTGATGTGCTTATCTCTGGCAGGTGCCAGAGTCCGCCCGGACCAACCGCGGGCCCACGGCTTCTGTTTGTGCTTTCTACTCAGCCTAGCGAGCAGCCTGACAGGCGCAGTTGGCACTCCAATAGGTTGTCTGTCCCGGTGCATGTCTGGATTATGGGACTTGAAGCACTTCAATGAAACGTGGCGTTGAGGTTCACGGGGCCTTGACATGCAGCGATTTTCAAGGTCAGCACCAAGCCACCGCGATTCGTTGGGGCCCACTTCGACGAAGCCTTTGTGTCGCTGGAGCTCAACTTCGACAGCAATGTTGTGCCGTGGCAGCATGGATTCAGCATGACTAGGGCTAGGGCTGAAACAGTGGGTTTTTGCCAGAAGTTGAAAAACTCAAAATGTGGTTATGTCAGACGTGCTACTGGTCTGGAGTGTTCCTGCCTCTGTTTGACCATCACGGACCCAGGCAAGACCGAAGCGATTAGCAACAACCTTCGACAGAACACTGGTCATGTCGGATACTGTGGGATGAACCGACGAGAGAGCTGGGATTCTGTCAAGCTGTATTGAATCAGGGGAAAGTGGACAAGAAAGCGCGGCGAACCTGACAAACACTGGCTTTCTGTAAGGCGGTCCTGGCATCGGGCTTGACAGAAAGACGTGTGCGGCAGTTGATGTAGCTTTCTATGTTATGAGATGGTGGTGCGCATGGGCGAATTTTGGGCAAACGAAAGGGACCTTATACAAGCCACTAATGTGTTGAATGGGGAGGCAAATGAAGGGGACTATGCGGCAGCATATTGCCCAGGCCCAGAATACGCACAGATTTCGTCCGGGATGAGGCAGGAATTGCCGAGAATCCGGCGGCATGACTTTCCAACTTCAAAATTCGTCCATTGTAACAAAGACATGCCCGCCTCAAGTGGTGATTGCTTTCTGGCGCGTATCTTTGCTGCTTTAGAACGCCTTTGACGGGAGTGGAGTGCTGGCAAAATCTCTCGGGTTTCGACTCCGGCAGCCTCCGGCAGCTCCTCGTACGAGCTCCACGTTTTAAGGCTTCGGGTTGAAGCGGCACCATGACTTGCTTCGGCTGGGTTGGTCGTGTCGCTTCTCCTTGCCAAGGCGCCTCTACCCGGCGAGGCCTGCATCCTCGTCAGCGGTAGATTCAGAAAACGAGGGGCCTTCTAGGGGTTCTTGTGTTCTGGATCCGGCCATTTGGGCTATCAAAACGGGAGGCATCCCTTTAGTTTCAAAATCTCTCAGCTTGACATGAATGTAGCAGTACATAGTACGAGTGTGACGAGAGTCGAGATTAGCATTGTCTGCCACGTTACTAGCAGCGATACCAAAAGAGGAAGAGTTTGTATGTGCAATTACTCACAGTGTTGGGAGTCAACTCGAGGTCATGTTGCCCATGCCACACAAGCCTTGCAGCCACTTGCATGTTGTGAGATTGCAAGGAGCATTCCGGTGGTGTGGCTGCGGCCGTTCCAGCCTTTTCATGCGAGGTGCAGAGCTGTTACGATGACTGCCTGCGAGTGTCATGACTCTCGCAAAGCAGCAGGTCTTGCTTGATCCGCAAACTCTGTTGCCAAGCTCTCGGTTCTTGTCACTCCTTATCAGCTGGTCAGTTGCAGTTCTCAGACGCTCTGCCAACAACGCTTCAGAGTCTTTGCGACAACAAGGCTGTTTGATAGCATGGTTTCAGCAGCGCTTCATGAAGTCATGTTTCAATTCCCCGCTCATGAGATCTGGAATGGGTGATCAGGTTGCTCGGAGACGAGCCCAGCTGCTGGTGGAAGTCCCGTCAGTCTGCGGCTGTGGCCATGGGTGGCAGCCTAGGCCGACCGGCAAATGACTATGGCCAGCAAGCTACGCCACATGGTAGTTGTTGTTCATGTTCAGACTTCGTGCCTTCGTGCAGTCAGAGATGCTCTTCTCCAGTTTGCAGGCATACTGCCCGGCAGTGGGGTCTTGCTCAAGGCAGGGTCGTCATCATGAAGTGCCTGGCCGATTGCAACCGCAGAGCGCGCAGCGTAGATGCATCCATAGAACCTGAGGCAGGCGTGTTGCGAAGCTACACTTTCGCGAAGGAAGCTGCGCCGGCACAGGTGCACATCGTACCGGCGCTGAGCGCATATTCTCTGAATGCGGCGCGGCGCCAGGAAGTGAAGGCAGATGTTCCTGGAGGTTTCATCGCTCCTGTGTTGTGGCCCAGGCACGTCCGGCCAAAGCCCTTTGCATGGTTTTCTTTTTCGTGTCTCCCCTTGACCAGTGTGCATGTTTCAGGTAACCCATGGTCTCGTCATATTTTTGCGAGATAAGCGCTGCAGCCAGTCCACACGACGAAGGCCCATCATCACCGGAGCACAGATGGCCGTTGACTTAATTAGGTGGTCAGCTCCAGTTCGATGTCTTGTGAATGTCTTGGTTGCACCCAGTCAGTTGCGGCGTAACAGTGGTTTCGCACAGAAGGTGCGTCCTGCATATTCCTGCATAATACTTTATTGCGAGCTGGAATCGCCTTGACCTGAACGATCTCGCAGCAGGAGAGCTTTGAGAACATAATATCCCAAGATTCAACTTTGCCCACGACGCTCTCTGTTGGGTCTCGCGCTTGAACGTCACCCCACCCCGGCTTCGAGTGGTTTGCTTCAAACTATTCGTGGGTAATTTTCCCTCACCTCTGCCTAGGCTCCGGCCTGTGCTGATGTCACTGTGCTGAGCTCCGAGTACAGCCAGGGCTTTGCTGGCCGCATGGCCATGCCCCCTCGTCGCGGCCCTGTTTTGCGGTCACTCGATCCCCATGTGCCACATGACCAGAATTCAAAGCCGAGGCTGGGCGGTAGTAGCGGCCTTCAACATGACTGCTGCTTCCTGGGACTCTGCCGAAGTTGAACGGATACAACGTGGAATGGAGATGCAGTTTCAGGATGCTGAGGTCGATGACCCGGCAACCCGCTGTACTGACACCGATGCCACGCCGTATCTCGGCGCTGACTGCGCAGGAGTTTGCTTTGGCCGAGGTGTACCTGCCGCGACAGGGAGTTCTGCTGAGCCGCCAGCTTAGCCCTCGTCGGCGACTCCACCGATGCAAGGGAGTTTCAGAAGAAGAACTTGTAACTGTAATACTCATGTTAGCTCATAACCCATCTTGACTTTTGAAAGAAATATAATATGCAAAATCTGGCGTGTTCGCAAGACATGTGAGAGAGCGCACAAAGGCGTGCGCAAAGGGTATTCATATGGCATTTATGTAATTTCGATCAGTCGGCAGTCAGCTGTAGGTCTCCTGGACCTGGAGTTCGATCGCAGCATTCGCGCCCGCAGCTTGGAGGGTTTGTTGGAGTTGCGACGGCGATCAAGATCTCATCATTTCAGCCGCATGCGCTCTGCCATCGAACATTGCAGGTTGGATTCATCTACCGCATTTGCCTTCGTCAGCAAAACATGCTGGACCTCGTTGGCATCGGCTGCCACAACCTCGAGGCGCCATCGTGGTCTAAACCCTAAAACCCGGACCTCGAAACCTTCGTTTCCTTGTTGGTTCCAAATGCGTCCGCCAGATCAACGAGCTGCCGATCCCACGTGTGGTAACTGCTGCTGCCCCGTTGCAAGATGAAGCTTGTGTATTGAGGAGGCCGGAGGCATCTTCCCATCTTGAGACGGGCAAGCCAGAAGCCTCCCAATACTTTGCACACCCCTGTCTCTCGAGGACACACGCACAAACCTCTTGCCGAGGTTCCACAGCACCCGATGGCGCTCAAGGAGGGGCGGTGGCCGGTCTCCTACAGCAGCTGTCATGTTCAGCGGCTATGATGATTGTTGTTTCATTTGTTGTCATCGTCGTAGTAGTAGTAGTAGCAGCAGCAGCAGTAGCAGTAGCTGTAGCTGTAGCAGTAGCTGTAGCTGTAGCTGTAGCTGTAGCAGTAGCCGTAGCTGAAGCTGTAGCTGTATTTATAGTAGTAGGTGTAGTAGGAAGAGGAGTACGCAGTTGTCGGAGGATCAGGCGAAGGAGTAGCAGTAGCAGCAGGAGCAGCAGGATTAGGAGTAGCAGCAAGTCGCCGTCTCAGTCGCAGTCGCAGTAGAAGCGGCAGTACCAGCGGCACAGTAGTATAAGTAGTAGTAGAATAGGTGGTAGCAATATCAGTAGTCGTCGTCGTAGTAGTAGTAGTAGTAGTAGTCGTAGTAGTAGTAGTAGCAGTAGCAGTAGCAGCAGCAGAAGTAGTAGCAGCAGCAGACGCAGCGGTAGGACTTTTGCGCTTGCACCTGCATGATTAAAGCGCGCTGACCCAGGGAGACCCCAAAACGAGCACCTACACATGACAAGAACCTTTATGTTGGGAGGTCACACAGCTCCCTTTTTCTACTAAGAAGAGATCGCTGACTATGCTGTGTAGTCATAGTGCGGACCTCAACAACCGTGTGTAGGATCGCACCGCCATGACGAACATGGCCGAAGTCCGGAACTCCGGAGCCATAACTATTCGCCGAGGCCTCTAGCCACACTGGCTCGCATCAGCGTTTCGCAGCCTCCAGAGCATTTCGTGTCAAGCATTATATAATGGCCTTTGTATGGCTCTGGTCCCGACACAGAGCGCGTATGCGCAATCCGCGAAGGTGTCCCAATTGCTGCCTACATGTAGCTCCCATGAAATCCTCAGCTGTGCTGCAAGCCTCGTTCAGTTCAAGAAACCTCACACCTTCGCCATGCACTGAGGCCATGACTGCATGCGCCCGAGGCCAGGCATGGGAGCAAGCTTCGCACTGAGCTTCAAGCTTGCAGGATCTGGGAGTGGGCCTTGCGAATATTCCGGGAATGTCGTTCATTTATTCTTTGTGCCAGTATTGCTTGGGTTTCATCGTTAGGCCTCTGGATGCGGGCATACCTCTTGCATGTCTGGTGCATGTAGGTACGATGTTGTTGTACCGAAGGGGGTTGCTCAGTCGATGCCTGCCTAGTGCCGTCAGACTGAGAAACTCTCAGATCATGTGTGCAATAGTAAAAGTCATTCGAGGTGTACTGCAGGCTCTCCAGCTGCCCAGAACCGCGAAGCCTCCAACACTTCAACGACTCTCGGCCACCTCCCAAACTCGAGGTAATTCAAGCTGCACGCGGCGGTACTTCTGCTACTGTCGGACTCCTGCCCCCCGGAAGCTGTACCCAAGTCTTCAGCCTCGAAGCGCTAGAGTCCAAATCCCGTAAGCCCCAGTTCGATTCCTCAGGCTCTGCATTCGTTGAATGAGATTTCCCTCCATGACCTTCAGTCGGCTGCTCGTCCTCGGCTTGTGGAGTGCTGCCGGCCGAAATCGTAGCCGGTTTGGGACTATAGTCATTTTCTTTCAAAGTGTCATAACCACAGCGGTGGCCTCGTCCTTTGTGAGCTTCAGCCTCAGACCACGCCTGCTCCCCAACACACAAATGCTTTCGGCAGACCGGTCGAATAACTTCGGGTGGGAACGGGTGGAGATCTACTTGCAATCCTATAATAATCTCCCGAAAGCCTGAGCCCCCAAGTAACGCAAGAGCCTGGCCTTTGGCAGCAAGATACCAGGCCTGGACCTCAGACCCTAACAGCCAATTGTTTCCAGACCTCAACCGCCTAGACCTCAAAGCTCCTCCGTCCTTCACCCAAACTCTTCGTCTCAAGCCCGCTTACAACGGCCGAGCGCGACTTCAACGGCCCAGTCCTTCGTATGGAAGGGATAGTTTGGCCTGCACGCTGCTTTCTGCCAGCCCTACAACACAAAGCCCACAACCCCAAGCCCTAGTCCCGCCCACAAGCCCTCAACAGGCCAGACGCTGTGGCCCTCGGTGCTGCGACCTTCGCGTGCGAACGCGGGTCCCAGTGGCAAGGCAGAACCTTCAAGCATTTTAATTTGCTTGTGGGAATGATTGTGCGGTAAGGCCCAACTGGGATGATACTACAAGTCTTGCGAGAGAAGAAGAGCAAGAATGCTTTGCCAGCATTGACATGATTGTACCACGATTCTGTTCCTGTTAACTCACGGACATGGAGTTGAAGATACTCTTTCCTGCATTGTCAGTCCTTTGCTCGCTATATTGGCTACAGGCTAAGCGGCTAGGGATTTACGATGCTGTTTTCAGCCCTAGACTCGCCCGGCTGGTGACGTCTTGCTGACATTTTGAGCTCTCCGAACCGGAAGTGTGGAGTTCAGGTTGCGGGTCTGAAGTGTCTGACCTATAAGCTTCATTCGACACAGAGCTTGATTATGAACTTCACACCCCAGGATCAACAATTCTGCTTGGTTGTATCTTTTGCCTCACATCTTGAAGCATCTTCATTGAAGTGGCCCTGAGCGCAACCTGCCCGGAAGCCTTCATTCCAACCCTCAATTTCAATGCCAAAGCGACTTCTGTAGGTATTTGGGGACCACTACAGTGCCTCCAAGTCCAAACCATAGTTGTTCATGCTGGCTTCTTTCCAGTCAGGTTTTCAGAGACCTAGATGCAAGCGCGCTCACTCACTCACTCACTCACTCACTCACTCACTCACTCACTCACCCAATCAATCAATCAATCAATCAATCGACCAAACAACCAATCAACTAATCAACCAATCATCAAGCAATCAGCCAATCAAACCAATCGATCGATCAGTCAATCTTTCAATCATTCAATCCAAATCAACCCAAATCAAACCATACCAAATCAAATGGAATCAGTTCAGTTAAAGCACAATCCAATCGATCAGTCAACACATCGATCTACACACACATATATACATAGAGACATACATATGCACATGCGTGCGTACAGTTTATTACACACAGTGTAAACCAGTACATATACATATTGTAATACTTTGTAGTTTTGCATACAATTGAGGTATTGTAACCAATAATATAAAAGACCAGTTGCAAGACATAGCGAATACATTATATGTAGAGTGTGCCTATTTCATCCTAGGCGCGACGTTTTTGTAAACAAAAAACACTTGAAAGTCGATATTTTAGGAAGCCCACAAAATGGGGCCCTGAGGGTGACACTTTCTGTATGTATACATGTATAAATGCATGTATGTATGTATGTATGTATGTATGCATGCATGTATGCATGCATGCATGCATGTATGTATGTGTGTATATATGTATATATAGATATGTATAAAAAAGATATGTATATATGAAAACCTTTCTTTCCCTGCTCTCTTCTTCCACTGGGCATAAGGGACTGGTTAGGTCTCGGCCACATGGCCCCCCATGTGTTATGGGGCTTTAAGGGACTGTGATTCCCTGCTCTCTCGATTCTGTCACTCTCCACACTCGGAGTTCCTGGCGAGGCGGTTCACGGGTTTAGGCTTTCTTTAGGGCCTTGGGGTTTAGGAGTTCAAAGCTTCGACTCTCACACTGGTTCTAGATGCGTCACGCTCTCGGAAATATGAAATTGTAGAAGAAGGTACATACAAAAAGCCAAAAGCTAGACTAGTGACTAGATGCAGGTGCTCGATCGAAGGGAACCCAGCTCAGTACAGGACCAAGCTTCAATGCCTGGAGTGTGGGTTCTTGGTAATGCTCGCCGGGCCAACTTGGTTTCACTGGCCTTTCCGCTTCTTTCGGCCGAACTCGTCGACTTCTTCGTCGTCCGAATTCCAATCCTTCTTCGGTTCCTGAGGCGGG